TCATGAATTGTCAGATCTGATTATTGAAAAAATGACTGTTGAAAATCCGAAGCACTGCTGCAAAAAAACGAACTATGATGACTAGCATATGATGTACTGAAAATGATGGAATTAGAGTACATTATTAGGTTCCGAAGCTATCCACAAAGCATAGGAATTGGACAGGATGAGGTATGTCATGTGATATTTGACTGGTAAATATTATACAACAAGTGAGTGATCAAGAAATAAAATTATTACCAATAAGAGTAATACTGGATCAAGAATATCACAGGTTTTTGGAGAGGAACCGTAATTTACTGAATTCTCCTACAGCGACTTTGATCAAGATACAGCACAAATAATTTCAAGAGATTTGAAGTGTAATTGTCCATTCAAATGTTCTCTTCAGGTTTCTGAAGGTGTCTATTTTTCAAGGAATATGATTTGAAGATGAGATACTGTAAGCCGCCAAGAATAAGAGGGGTAGACATCAAGACAAGACGTATACCATGAGCTAGGTCAGCTGAAGGTTGTTTAGTGTCGACAAAGTTCTGAAAGTATGAACGATCGCAAGGTAACGAAAACACTAAACTACCATAGGATCAGAGAACGCGTACCTGATACCCGTAAGCATTGAGAATATACACAACAACAACCGGTGCTATAGACTGTGCAGGTTTGACAACTAATGCATTTAAACTAAATACCAGTGAGGAAAGTCCCGATCTAAACATAAGTTTTGAAGGAAATGTGTCCTACAAGACTTTGAATGTCCTGAAACAATTAGGTAAAGTTGCAAAATGAACTGACTTGCGCGAGTGTCGTTTCGCGTCGTCATCTATGAAGTCTGAGATGATGATGTTGAAAAGCGGTGCCGCAGAGTGAACCGTTATACTACAAAAGAGCTTCATAGACCAACGACTGAAAACATGTTCATACAAAATTACCTGTCGATTACCATAAAAATCATAATAAAGTATGGATCACTAGCGAAAAAGAATATCAGTCCAGAAAAGAAGGAAATAGCATAAGTGGTCATCAAAATTCGATAGGCTCCACACTTATTAATGAGACGTTCGTTCAAGATAAGCAATATCTAGAAAGAAATTAGATGTACAATTCTGAGACGAAATTCAAAAATGACTGACCTGTGGCCCAAGCGTTAGGACACCGTAGAACAAACTCAATTGAATGGAGCCTTTCGGCAAAATTGTTTGGGGTATGAGAAGTTCAGTAGCTATGGAAGCAAAGTTCATATGGGAAACGCTTCTGTAATAGAATCGTTGAGCTGCAGAGGATGAGGAAAATTGGTAGCTAGGAAACCAACCTGGCAGTATGAATGAAATTGGAACCAATAATCGCCATAAAATCCTTCTCCAATAATATTTCTTTAGTAGCATCCCACATCGAAGTCATTTCCTTCCTAGAAATCGTATAATTGCGCTGCCTTATGCATCTACAATTCTTTACCCTCGAGCTGGAGCAGTGAAATCATCTACATCAGCCAAAAGACTTCCTTTTTCTGCACTAAACGGTAGCGAAGGACGGAGAGAGCCAGCGATCATGAAGCAGTAAAGGGCAACGAGTGCCACAACAACAGTGATTGTTTGAAATACGAGAAATCTCTGCAAATGGTGTAAGTTGACTGAATATGCACTTCATTAGCCAGCAACTGAAAACATGCCCTTTTGAAAGTTTGTTTACAAGTGCTCATGAATTCGTTGCTAATAATGAGAGTGTTATTCGATACGAGCATAATCTTTTGAGGGACAAAATCAATTCATGTTTTTCAACAATTTTCACTGCTCTCTACAAAACTACTCTTGGTCTCCAATTTTCGCTGGAAAACTTATTACGAGCCCTTACCAAAGCGTTGCCCACGCTGCGGCTATCTATCAATTGTACT